TCTCATGCCTTAGTGTTTTCAAAGTGTGTCTTGGGCGCTTGCGAGCGAAGGCGGTTGTCGCTTGCGGCGTCTGCCTTAGCTTTTCTGGTTCCAGATTACCGCTTAAGAGGGCAAAAATCGTTAATAGTCTCAACAACGAATTCTGGATCATGCCTAGTGATATAAATCAATATTGTATGCCGATTACGAATTATTTTGATGGTTCTTATGCAGAAATTCAAGTAATACACATTTTTGTCAACCTAAGAATATGCTCATATTTGGAGTCATCATCTATCGAGTCTGTTTTGTATTGCTTATATATAAGCTCCTTATTTTGATGATCAATAAGACAATTTTATTATTTTTCCCCAAAATTTCTAACATTGACCATGTAAAAATAGATGATAGCCTAGAAAAATAGATAATGGTATTGTAATTCTTGCAAAAATAAAACCTATTATTTGATAAACTTTTGTGTTTTTGTCATTTACTACTGAAAATTATGAAAGTATTATGAAAATATTCTGCTTTATTATTTTGTAAGATAAAAGATTATATATATTTGAATTATGTGTAGTGTTTAGATTATTATTTTTTTTATTGTATTTAAGTTATTAAAGTTATTTGTTTGTCAATTATTTTTTTTACATAATTTTCAATATATATTTTATTTATTTACATAAGTCAAACATTCAATATAAAATACTAATTTTTATATTATCGATACGATTTCTTATATTCCATATTAAAAAAAATTCAAATCAAAACACTGAAGAAACAAACCTTTTTTTTTGTTATCTAAAATCAATATAGATACTCTCCCTCCGTCCATTGTCAAAAGGAGTTTTTAAAGTTTTGTAGTAAATTAAAAAATAATAGTATTTTATTGATTAGTGAAAGTTTTTAAGAGATTTTGATATTTTTCTTATTTGACTTTATGCATGAAATGATATGTTTGTAGTTTAGGTAAAAATTAAGGGTATTTTGGTATTACTGTATAATTACTACTTTCAAATGAGATAGACGAAAATTGTAAAAAAAATATTTTGAATTGGGACGGAGGGAATATTTTTTTTAAAAAAAAATATATAACATAAATATTCAATATAAAAATTTATTAAACAAATATTTCAACTTTTATTTCAATATTTGAGTCTAATAATAATTAGAATAGTTATCTATAATTAATTATTACATTATTTAAATTAAATTAATTAACTATCTAACACACTATTAATTTGGAGAGACGAAGGAGTGATATATATTATAATAATTTATAATTAAAAAAGAAAATAAATAAAATAAAAATTTCCATTTATAGAATACACAAATTACTCCATTTATTATGGGATGGACCAAAATAATGAGTTTGTTATTTCTAATTTTTGTTTTCCACTCGTTTTTCTAAAAAGAATTAATATATAATATACATTCATTATTTTTATATTCCCTGCACAATTCTCTATACCTCACATTAAAAAAAAAAAAAAAAAATTTCCAAAAATCTCATGTAATATTAAAAATTAGTTCCGCAAGGATGACCTGGCAGTGTGGAGTCGATTTGTGACTATAAGGTCATTCAAATTTTCGACACTTTCAAATCTTGTCTATCACACATAATTCAGAAAGTAGCGACCGCGTGAGGAGTGGATCGATTGTTGATTAATTTCAGCTGAATTGTTATTCAAATCAGTTGTTGATCCGATCCCATTAATCACATCTTAATTATTTTGTTTTAAATGATCTATTCCATGTGTAACTATTATTATACGATGTTCTAATTTAATAATTATTATACTCACCATTAATATAATTATGTGATCCAACAATAAAAGCGCCCCCTCGTAAATATTCTCCATTTTAACAACTTAGGCCATCTCCAACCCGTCACTCTATTTTTGTAGTTACTACAGTACAGATACAGTTGATCTACTGTACTTTTACTCCAACCATAAACTTCAATTTTTACTCTAAAAAGTATATTCTATATATATTCTTCTTTTATATTATTTTATATAACTTTTCATATTTATAAATTACACCCCAACTTTAATTATTTTTACATTATAATTCATACACATATAATTTATATTTTATTTAAAAATTACATATATTAAAATTAAAATTTATAATTAATAACTATTACAAATAAAATAATTTTAAATAAATAATTAAGTGTTATCAAGGCAAATAACTATTTAAAATAAAAAATTATACATAAATTTTTATAAAATAAAAGTACGCGTAACTTTAAAAAAAATAAAATTATATTATTTTTCGAAAAGTAAAATTATATATTAATTTTAAAAATAAAATTATACATTATTTTTTTGAAAAATAAAATCATATATCACTTTTAAAAAAAATAAAATTATACATTACTTTTCAAAAAAAATAAAATTATATATAACTTTTTAATATATAAAATATTATATCATATTCTAAAAAATAAAATTCCACAAAATATTATAAAAACTCCACTAAAAAATAGAATACATTACTTCAACAATGATGGGGGTGGGGGGCGGGGTATGTGGGGGTGAGCTGGAGCCCCTCCCCCATTTTTTGCCCAACCCACTGTATTTATGCAGTGAGTTGGAGTTGGTCTTATAGGTGAGAATATTTATATTTAACTTTGGTCCCTCTACATTTATTATAAATAAATTAAATTTTATGTTTAGTGTTTTAAAAACGTGTGTTTTGTTTTGTTTTGTTTTGAGTTTGTATTTCTTATTTGAATTTTTATTTTAATAATATTTTGATGTGGTGTTTTATGATAATAGATAGTGTATTTATATTGGGAACAATACAAATTAAATAGTGTTAATTTTTCCGTGTTCTTTTGAGAGTTTGGATTTTGTGTTTAAAATTTGAATAGTAAAAATTTTGAATTTAAATACTTTTTATGATGTGATGATTTTGAATGTAAAGTTAATTTTTAGTATAATATAAAAAAAAAAAAATAGGTGTTTGATTTGATATTTTTTTAAAAAAAAATTATGATAAATAGTAAAATGCCGTATAAAAACCTAAAAAATTATGACAATTTACAATATTAAATTTACATCTCTTGTAAATAAACAACTATATTTATATATTTAAAACTTTTTATTTTCATAAAATTAATCTATGTTAAATATGTATAGAAATATGGAATGAGTGTCTTTATATTTATCTTTTTTTTTTTTTTTTTCATTTTTCTGCAAGATGATATTTATATCGAGTAAATTTGATTGAAATATAAGATGTTCTCTCTTCTTTCTTTCTTTTTTTTTTTTTTTTTTTCTTTAATGTATTTTGATTTTTGACATTTGAGAGGGAAAATAGTTGTTGCATGTGATATTTTTTAAAAAAAATGAAAAAATGCATAATAAAAAAATGAAAACAAAAAGAGCAAAAAAAAAAAAAATAAAAATAAAATTATTTTCTTATATAAAAATGTTAAAAATATATAAAATTATAAAGTTCTAAAGTACATTGCTCCATGTAATGCAAAAATATTTTAAAAAACAAACTAATCAAACCCTCAAAAGAGTTTGTATTCTTTTGAAATTTGATGTTAATATGTCTTGTTTCTTTTTTTCAATTCTTTTTTTTTTTTAATATTGATTTGAATATACTTTTACCTACCAAATTTAAAGAAGTCATTTGGTGTTTTATAATAGATTGAGAAATAATATATTTTATTAATTAGTCTTAATGTGTTTTTTTACAAAAAAAATAAAATACATGTTTTTTAAAAATATTAATATATTACATACATTTATTATTTTTATATTATCTACACAATTTCTTATACATCGCATAAACAAATATTCTTTTAAACCATCTCACAGAACAAACACACATATTTATATATAAATTAATTGTATATGTAATGATATGTTTGTAATTTATGTAAAATTTAAAGAGTATTTTTTTATATTAATATGTAATTTTTTCTACTATAATAGAAAATATATACTTTTGAGCGAGACATATAATTAAAAATAATAAAAAAATATACTCTCCGTTAGAATGAAAAGAGTAATATTTATGAAACAAATGACATATTTTTATAAAATTTTTGCGATTGTTACATAATAAAAATAAAAATAAAAATAAAATAAAATCATCACAAGGTTTGACTATATATATATATTATTGTGATAAGGTCCCAACAATAAACCCTCATCTAACTTGGGAGTGGCTCAATTATTGCAGACCAAATCGGGTGACACAATTTAAGGCCATTTATATATCATCTTTCAATCGGTCATAACTTATTACATACATGAATTTTAGATTTATGAAGATGGTGGGTGGTAGTTGTCACCCTAGCTACATTTCATTAAATTTCATGCACACTACCAATGGATATATTTAATTACTAAGTCTGTTTACTCAGCGTTTTTATATAAATTGATTTTTGTGCATGTGGTAAAAATAATATTTTGTATTGAATGATTGACTTTTTATGAGCCCGGATAATGTATATATTATATTAATGTGTGTATATTTGTATTGTTGTGATAATATTTATAGAGAATTGTTCCATTAAAAAATATTGAGTGAACATTCTGATTTTTTTTTATTTAAATTTTGGCTTAAATAATAGTTTTAATGTAATATGTTATGAAAAAAAATAGTATCATCAAAGTATGTTCAAACTTTTTAAATACATAGATTAATAAAAATAATATTTTAATATTTTCATAAGAATAAAATTGGAAATTTAGAAAATTAATAAAGTAAATCTTGAATTAAAATAGACTGATCAACGTGAGAAATATATGAGCTGTGTAAATAGATTGAAAATAGAAATTTAACAAATAGTTAAATTTTTTACTAAATATGATATAGACATATTTTTAGTAGACTACCTAAAATAATAAAATGAACACACTTTTAAGAGATCGAAAAAATACCTTTTGTAAAAAATTGCGAGAACTGAATAGTAAAAAAAAAAGTAAAAATAATTGTCAATTGAACAAAGTGTCTCTTCTTTCTCTCTATATATAGAGGAAAAAACCATTGTTGGAGGGCATTGCATTGATTTATCATCGTCGATCTCCTACATAGCTTTATTTGTTTGTTAGTTATATTCAAGAGAAATGGCGTCGGTTCTTGAAGTCGAGGTGGACTTGAAATCGAGCGCAGAAAAGATATGGGAGGGCATAAAAAACTCGGCCACTTTGTTCCCCAAGGCTATGCCTCAGCAGTATGAGAGCATTGAGGTCCTCGAAGGCGATGGACAATCTGCCGGCTCCGTCCGTCTCATTAAGTTCCCATCCGGTATATATATATATATATATGTATCTATATTACTATACAAATTCTAAAGGAAATTTCATAAATCTAGTTCATATCTATGATAATTATCATTTTTTTTTTATATGTTTCTTCATTATATTTTGATCATATACTTTAAATATATAAACAAAGCAAGTTCATTATCCCTGAGAGGATATAGAAGTGATTTTTTTCCGAATGAGAATTATATTTTGTAAAATATAAGAGTAAAATACAATTCATGAAATGTAAAAGATGATAGTGACAACTACTCATAGATGCCTAACTAAAATTGCAAGTATTATTTTGTTTGTGGAGTTTTGGATTTACGTTTGAGTTTTTAAGAGTAAAATTTTGAATTAAAATAGTTCTTTTGATGTAATTTAAATATTTGTTAATATAATGTTTTAAATATAAAATTAAATTTTAATATAATATAATAAATAAAAATTATAAATTTGATTTGATGTTTTTAAGATAAATATTTTTTGAAAAAATAAATCCATTCCCAAAACCTCCACAACCAAACACTAAATGTGTGATTACTTTGGTATTATTTTGTTGTTTTTGGATATTCTAAGATTTTTATAATGTAAATAGTTTTAAAATAAGTGAAAAAAACTTAAGGCTGTGTTTTTTCTTGTGGGTTTTATCCACAGGTTTTGACTATGCAAATTTCTTTTTCCTCTAAAAATATCACATCAAACAATTCATTTTTTTTATTTTATATTATACTACAAATTTATTTTTCATTCAAAACATCACATCAACCTCTATTTATATCATATCAAACAACTATTCAAAAATCTAAACCCACAAACAAACACACCCTAAGAAATTTAATTATATATAAATGGATTATAGATATATAAAAATAATTTCTTGTATGCAGGACTATCTGAGATATCAAGCACAAAGGAGAAGATAGAAAAGGTGGATGAGGCGAACAAGAACGTGGAGTACACGGTGATCGACGGGGAGATGCTTAAATACTACAAGAGTTTCAAGGGGAAGACTGTGGTGAGCTCGAAAGGAGATGGCTCTGTGGTGAAGTGGTCGTGCAACTACGACAAGGCCAGCGAAGATGTCCCAAATCCCGACCTCATTAAGGAATTTGCTATCAAGAATTTCCAGGAACTCGATGCTTATCTCCTTAAAGCCAACTAAGGATATATGATCATTTGTTGTTGCCTATCCATAGATTGTAATGCTTCATAGAATCTATGGTGTTGTTTGTCTTTGGAGTTGCTTTGAATTTGAGTGTATGAGAGGAAGATGAGCTTTAGAATGGTTGGTATGTATCGAAATGAATAAAATAAAATAATGCATGCGAGTTTATGGGTGTTTTTTTTTTTTTTTTTTTTTTTTGTCATATTTTGTGAAAGAAAAAAAAAATATATTTGTATTTGAAAAAGTTAAGAATATTATTCACCACTAATTATATCACTAATTATATAACAACACAAAATACCTTATATTTTATATATTATGTGAAATCTCTTGATGTTTGGATGTAAATATGCAACTAATTATGCAAATTTTATACGAATAAAATAGGTAAAATATGTAATATAATATTTTTTAATATAATAAATAAATATTTATACACCATTCATTTAGTCGTTGTTTTTAAGACAATTTGTTATCTGATTTTACTATATATATATAATTAAAGATTAACAACCAATTTAACATATTTTACCTATTTTTTTTGTATAAAATTTATATAATTAGGTACGTGTTTACAATCAAACATCAAATTTGGACGAATAAGGTGTTTTGTGTATACTTTAATTTAACATATGAATTTTACACAATAAATAAATATGAATTATATTATACATTTGTACTAAAATATAAGAGGGTATTACGCAATTTACCAAATTTTATTTAAAATATTACATCAAATACTTATTTAAATACATATTACCAATTTTTATTTGTTTACTTTTATTTTTTAACGGGATTTTTACTACTTCATATGTTATTCAATTTTTTGCTCTACCATGTAGTCACAAGTTTTAATGAGTATATGTAATAATTGTTAAAAATTTCTTTTATAATAATAAAAAAAAACAAAAACAAAAATGACAGAAATTTTTACTATAAAAAGACAACTAAAAAAAAAATGCTAGAAAATACGGTTTTTGTATTAAAGTAGTCTATGTCATTCAAAGAACTATCAAATACACAAAATAGTTTATATTGATCTTAAATGATACTTACCGTGGAAGTACCAATCTAAAATACATAACATATCAACAAGTATCTCACATATTGAATCCACAAAAACAAAAAAAAGCAAATAACATGACAATAAAATGAAATATGATAATCGAAAGAGATATAATTCCAGTTGTTTGGATCAAATCAGCATATATAATAAAAGTAGACAACATATATTATATACAATATAACATATTTATAATACGACAAACATCATATAATTGTGTTACAATAAAATATAAATTATTTAGAAATATTTATTGTCTACTTTTATCATATGTGCTGACCGAGTCAAATCAACATGCCAATTTGACTCAATCATCATGAAATCCGTGTCCAATAAACCATTTACCGCTATAAGTGTGTTGTCATCGCAGGATACAAACACAAGTTCTCGATCGTGGGATCATTACTTTTCTAATAAAATGATTTAAGGTAAATTGCGTCATTTCAATCCATATTGATTTGATCAATATTCTAGTTTGTTAGAGTATAACATCAAATAAGATAAATCATATGCTTGTGTTTCTATTTGATTAGAGATCAAATTAGCAATAAAGGTGGTGGTGGAACTTTTGTAAATAAAGAATTTTGTATTTGAAATAAAAAAGAAAGATTGGATGTTCATGTTGGTGTTGTTAATAATGCTCATAATACTTCGTTGAAGAAATGCAGTGATTTAATGCAATAAATGAGTATCGAATTTAGCTTTGTACTTCAATTGTTTCATGTAGGTTTATGTTACACCAAAAGTTGTTTTTTTGGTGGTTATAATAAAATTGGAAATTATTCAAATATAAGAAATATTTGGAGATACTTAAAAATATGATTGATCAAAATGAAATTGTTCGTAATGTTGTTTTCAAAAATTCAAAAGTGAAGAATTGTTAAATGATTTATCTTAACATTTAAGAAAATATTGTTTATTGTTTTGCACAAGAGATAGTGCAAAAAATAATTGAACTAAAGATGATTAATTTTTATTGATGCTTGATGAATGCAATCAGCTCTTGTTGCTAACGTAACTTGGAGTTCCTTGAAAATTTGAACTCATAATTTTACGATCACAAGTCCATCTTCGTACCATTAGATCATCCATAATTATTGTTTTAATAAGTTGGCTTTGTTGTATATGTAATCACTTTCAAAAAAAAAAATTGATGACAATTCTAATAACAATGGGGTTTAGAGGTTAAATTGAAACAAGAGTTTCATAGGTATAGCTTTTATTTATATATACCTACACTTATAAATTCTTAAAAATAATAAAACTTCAAAAGTTTATTTACATGTTAATTATTTTCTTTTTTTTTTCCTTTAGATTTTATATTACATTGGGCACCCATTAAATAATAATAATTCACTCTAAATTGTACTTCATGTTCCCAAGTGCATGAATTTCTTTTTCTTTTTTTTTTCTTTTTTTTTTTTTTGTCAATCTCAAATTTTGTATAATCTTTTTGAAATAGAAAATTTTGAACAACGCACATCATTTAAATAAAAACATTATCTAATTCTCAAATTATAATTTTCAAAATTCTCGTGCTGAAAACTAAAAATTGCACTATATATGGAATGGCGGGAGTATTTGTCTAAGGATTCAAATTCAAAATTATTATTTTATTAAAAACATTAAATCAAATATCAATATTTTATATTATATTAAAAATTAATTTTGTTTTTATATATATACATTTTATCAACTAAAAAGAAATTATAATTTAATACAAAATATTATTTTCATATAACATATTCAAATTTTCACACTAAATATTAAAAACACATTTATCCAAAACACAAATTGAAAACACCCAATATATATTTTAAATTCACAATACTGAATAAATTAATTTATAATCACAATATTAGAGCCGAAAATGGTGTCGATTCGTATTGGGTTCGTATCGGGTTGAATATTTTAAACGGGTTAAATTACTCAACTCTAACCCGACTCGTTTATTATTGTGTCGGGTTCGGGTTAACCCGTTTATTATCGTGTCGGGTTCGGGTTGACTCGTGTTGACCCGTATAAATAATTAAGTCTAATTTCTTGATTCAAATAAAATAATTTTTTAATTTTGTTGTATGTTAGTTTTTATTGGTTTGAGGATTGAATTATTTAAAATTGAACTTAGTTTAAATTAATTTATGAAAAAATTATTAAATTATGATTATTTTATATATATAATAAATATATTAACAAATATTAATATATTATAATCGGGTTGTCGTGTCGGGTTCGAGTTGAGAGCCTCAACCCTAACCCGACCCATTTATTATCGTGTCGGGATCGTGTCAACCCGTATACGTAATCGAATTGAAATCTTTGACCACAACCCAATTATTTCGTGTCGAATCGTCTCGGGTTGTTGTGTCGGGTCAGTTTTTGCCAGCTCTACACAATATCCATTTATTAATATGCGGAATTTAATAATTTCAGATGTATTCCCCAACTTAAGACATTTATTAAGAATGCATGAATTTAAGGTGTGATAGCTAGAAATAGTATGTTTTTTATGTTCATATCACATGCAATATTTGAGTGATTTTGATTGGATTCTATCTAATTTTATACGTGTATTGTTTATTTGTTGTGTGCAGAGGACAAATATCAAATTTGGCATAATTGACAAAAAAAAATAAATAAAAAAAATTCAGATTTGCACCACCTAGTTAATCATGGTCATGACTAACTATACCCTCTTAATATGAGAATTTAATTAAAGACTCAAAAGCCCAACTACAAAATAATTATGGAAAAAATTAAATAAAAATGGGAGTCACACGCAGACGCAAGAAGAGAAAACGGCCAGAGCAGATATGCACAACAGCAGGAGACTGCCAGACTCATATATCGCGCAGGAACAAATCGACAGAGAAGATTTCTCCTTCCACTATGACTTTATCTTTCCTTTTTGTTCTTTACTATTCGATTATGGAGTAGATACGTTTTTGGTGTGAGCGATGGTCATGTTTTGGTTCTTTTGTTTTGGAGATTCTTAATTTTCTTTATGAAAGTTCTTTTTTATTATCAATATTTGTCTAATTCTGATAATAACGTTTGTGATTGTTAGATTGATTGAATGTTTTGGTACCGATATTTTAATTAGTCTAATAATCTAAAGTCAATTCAGGTAGGATATCTATAATTGTATTCGCACTTGAATAGGTGACAACTGGGTTGAATAGTTCATTCCCAATTAAATTTGATTGTCTAACCCCCGGGAATGGGAATACTTTGAGTTTAATCTGTTTGTCAGTAACACCTGGCGGTTTCATGCTGGAGCACACTACGTCGAACTCTTGCAAGTGTTTGTGAGGTTCTTCGCCTGCAAGTCCATGAAAAGAAGACAGTAAATGAATTAAGCCAAATTTCAGTTCAAAAGCAATAGTGTTATTCAGAGTTGGAAAGTTCATGAATAAGGGCTATTGTGCCAAGTTGGGAGCAACCAACTCCCTTAGAGTGCGGGTATCCTCAGCCATGACAGTCTCTTGATCACTTTCAGAGTCGCTAGAGCTAGAAATTCTGAGGTGGTTTGTTTGGCTTCATTTCGCAGCTTTCGCTCAACCTTCTCGATCTCAAGATTAACTACTCCTAATTAAGCAAGTAAACTTAGGTGTGCCCATAAGAAATATTGTCTAATCGCATTCTAATCTAAAAAAACCCAATTCAAAACAATTACTACCTAAGAGGAACAATTAGATATGGTCGTTCTCTCTTCTTGCGTCTGCGTGTGACTCACCTTTTTATTTAATTTTTGCCCTAATTATTTTGTAGTTGGGCTTTTGAGCCTTTAATTAAATTCTCATGTCAGGAGGGTATAATTAGTCATGACCATGACTAACTAGGTGGTACAAATCTGTATTTTTCTTTAATTTTTTTTTTTGTCAATTATGCCAAATTTGATATTTGCCTTCTGCACATAAACAATACGCATATAAATTAGGTAGAATCCAATCAAAATCACTCAGATATCGCATATGCTATCAACATAAGACGCATGCGATTTCTAGCTATCAATTCTCCCCACACCTAGATCATGCTGCCCTCAAGCATAGATTCGAAATAAGCCAAAGAAATCGTAGACGACTCAATATGACAAGAGAATCAAACACAACCAATTCAATCCGAAATTCAACACATCAAGCCAAGTCAACCTCACAGGATAAAGTGTATTCGCACATGCTCTCTGAAGGAATTAAGTGTATAATTGGCTCAATACTCAGGTAGTGCAACAAAAGATTATTTTATAGGCTTGAGTAAAAATCAAATCTCTCTTACTTAAATACTCGAATCTAACATAAAGAATCAAAGGGACTTTCAATAAGGGTTGTAGCGGGGCTTATGGTCAGGGGTAGGAAAACAATGATAAACAATGGCTAAAATATGTCATAAAAGAACATAATAAGAACACAATGCTAGCATATGAAAAACAAATCTACATAAATAATGAAATCTTTACTCTATTCACTATCCAAACTTCAATAACGGAATTAAATAAAAATACTAGCATCAATTATATTACTCCCTCCGTCAGGTGTAAGGTTTGTCGTTTACTTTTTGCACGTAGATTTTTTAATATTAGTATTATAATGTATTGTAGTGAAAAAAGACAAAAATACCTCTATTAGTATTGTGTAATATAAAAATAATGATATTTGTGTAATATAGTGTAAGCTGAAAGGATATTTATTATGTTAAGTAGGTAGTACAATTACTAAATTAGAAAATAGTAACCTTATTTTGGGACGGACGAAAATGAAAAATAATAATCTTTCAATGGGACGGAAAGAGTATTTGTTTCACCATATGCCACTATACTTCGATTACAGTGCTGATTGAGTCAAATCAGTATGGTGTAACAGAGGCATCTTTTGTGCAACATTATCCGATGGGATGTCTTTTTGGTGAATCTGCTGGGCTTCTTTAGCCTTTCCCCATATCACTGAATAAAACCCAATCACCACAACAATCGATCCCACGATACTGCCAAAACATTACCAAACATTATGATTTGTTTATACACTTGAAAATTATGTTATTATTCAATAAATTTTTAAAAAATATCATATTGAATATATATTATTTCATTTAAAATATTACATCAGAAATATATTTACTATATGAAACATCACATCAAGGACGTGATCTTTAAAACTATATCAAATTTTTTTCAAAACTTCATAACTTTCAAAAATCATGTGTCCAAAAATCACTTTTAGTACTATACGTCTACCATACTATTTTTAAAAAGAAATTATATCATTATATATTTTTTCTTACAAAATATCAAATAAAATACTCTTATATCCTCCGAAATTATGTCTATTCATGAAATGTTTTATACACTCACTCTTTTTACTCCTATGTTAACAAATAACAATAATTTTGCCATTATTTTCCCAATTACTATTTTATCTAACTCATTATTTAATTTTTTATAATACTTCTGTTTTACATTTTATCTACTTTACTTTAATATTAAAATATCATTATTTTTTAATTATTTTGACCAAGCAAACTCATATAATGAAATACTAACTTTTTACTTTTTTTTAAAAAATTTTAAAACTCCGCGAACCTTTAATTATTATATCTAAAAAGAGTCTAAAGTTTGAATTCAATCAAGTACTTATGTTCAATTATCACTGTTATCTTATATGTTTTTCCTGACTGCATTTTAATTGGTTGTAGTATGTGACTAAATTAGTAGTTTTTTCCAGGTAAAAAAACAGTGGTTAATTACATAGGCAAAGCTTAAACATACCTTCCAAGATACATCGACTCTCCCAAGAGGATGATGCCCATAGCAATGGCAAATATGACACCCAATGGATGAAACACAGATACAAAGAGAGGACCCCTTCTTTTCACACACCACATAATAATCGAAACCTGGAATACATTGCCGAAAAGCGCCTGCATAAACCGAGTATAATGAATCCGTGATCATTACAAAATCGATGGACTTGTGAGAAGCATTGGATACCGAGTATATGACAGGGATCAGCCTCGTCTTATCTTTGAGGCTCCAGGCGTCGTGGTTTTTCTCTATCACCATAGACGTGGCTGCAGATAAAATGGCGACGAAGCAACTGTAGAAGAGCATCAGAATCAGCTCTGCCGGGCATTTCTTGAGGACCAATGCCTGCAGGTACGAGTTACGGATCAGACATTTTTTTTCTGTTTTTGAATACGCCGTGTTTGTTGTTTTATTTCTTGTTAACCTGCACGATGATGAATAGAGCAGACACGATTGTGTCGATTGCAAGAAGTAATCCCCCCAACAGCCATGCTGATGAAGGTGTAAGAAGAGTTGGGGAAGATGCATTCAAATGCTGCGGATTCTCAAAAATTGTAGGGCCTTGATAGAGAGTTAGTACAAGAGCGCCGATGATTGACACCACTGTCCCGATTAATTTAGCTTGAGTAGTTGAACTTGAGAGCTTGAATTTCTCCATCCTGAAATCGATAATAGATTAAACTTCAGTTCTATGTGCATACTTAACTCAAGAAGTTGGTAACAACAGCCAAAGTGATGCAATAAATAGAACATTGAAAGCTTCAGGTTTAGCTGCCTCCATAGGCATTGATCGATCATAAAGAATAAATGACAAGTTCCTTAGAATACAAAGTGAAATTTTATTTTTGGAGAAAATTGCAAATAATATCACCATTTATATCTTGTTATCACTTTTGTCCTGTATTTACTTCGTTGGCGAAATATATCCTACATGTTTCCAAAAGTTGCTATTTTTGTCCTTTAGCCGCGCGCGGTGACGTTCACACCATGCGCGGCCAAATGATATAAATAGTGACTTTTGTAAACATGTGTAAAATATTTTTTGCCAGTAAGATAAATACAAGACAAAAGTGATAATGAGGTATACATGGGGATATATTTTGCAATTTTCCCCTTAGTTCTGTAACAAGACTGTGATAGATAACATGGCAGCGTTCGTTAAAAAATGGAAAATATATCTAATTTCACAATCATCGATGAAAGCAAGTTTCCAACCGATCAAAATGTCTGGGGAATAGGGCTGTCTCCAAGTATTTCCAGAAAAATTAAGATGAATGTGAAGAAACCAGTGATGATGAATCCCAGTTGAAGAATGATAAGTAAGAAAAAATGACACCGAAAATTTCGATATTTCTATTTTAACAATAAGATTAGTAGAAAATCTGTGATCTTTATGTGTAGGAGTGAAATATGTCAGTAATAGTTTGAGAATCAAAATTCTAGGGACATCCCAATTTTTAGGAGTACTTCATTGTTCTAAGGAGATTATTACTGAAACTTGACAAATTACAGGGAATTAACTTCAACACATATTTGTTCGTGATCGCCTAAAGCTTTTCTTCAATCAAGATATTAGGATCATATATAACTCAATTGGCTTTAAATTCGGGTGTTCTCGACTCATTGTACAACAAATATCTAAATTAATTGAAACGGCTTAGCTTGTACAATGGAGCCTTTGGATTTGGCCACTTTGAACATGCCTCACGTTATAATTGTTCGTTCGGACTTCATAGAAGCTGAGATTCGTAATTTAAGAAGCGACCTCGAACTTGTCTTGAGCATGTTTAGAATGGTTCTATATATTCCTTTTTTCATCTACTCTATTTTGTTGTAGACTTGAAAAAAACTGCTGACTTCCGTTAGCTTCAAAATACTCGACAAACTCTTTGAATGTGTACTCTCCTCCATGATCCGGTTGGATAGTCACATTCTTTGTCCCCAAGACTGGGAATTTTTTTAAAAAGGAAAAGGGGTTCGACTTTTCTTTGAGGAAGTGTACATATATTTTTCGCGAGAAATCATCGATGAATCTTATTTATAATTTGTTTTTACTGAATAACTTAGGGAAGATCAATCCACAAAAGTCGTATGCACGAGCTCTGGCCACTTTCTTGCTCTTAGCAATGCTATGTAGGAGAATGCTTTCTGCAATTGCTTTCCACGTCTTTTACATATTTTTTTTGGATGTGAGATGAATGACAATCATTTCACCATTCTACACAATAGCAACTTCAAATCTCCAAAATTCAAATATACAAATCATCGACGACAGCACCATGCCTCATCATGAACACAAGTTTCAAACAAAAAGATGGTCACTTTAAATGTTGAGGTGAAACATGCGGCTCTTTGTCATCGGCACATTTGCAACAAGCTGTTGATCCTGATTCTTTTGTAAGATGGTGTTTTCCTTTAAATTTATCTCCACATGTGAATTGATTCTTGGTTGGGGTTATATCATAGAAAAAATCCCTTATTCTATGTAATGTGGTTGCTCACTCCGGTGTCCAAATACCACACATTCTTGCTTCCTTTAGATCTTTGAAAATGGTTGAATATCCCACAGTGGAAGAATATTGGAAGCTCCCCTTGATTATTAAGGTGAACGAGAATTCCTTTTATTACCAATTATTTTTTAAATGAAGACTCGAATTCGTTTCTTAATATGGTAGTAAAGCTATGGTCGCTGATTTAGGCTAGGATACCAATTCTACTTTTGAGATGAATATCATCCCGAGGGGAGTTTTGGGTGTCCCACATTGGAAAGATGTTGGGAATTCCCCTTGATTGTAATCGTGAAAGACAAACTCCTCTTATCACCAATTGGATTTAAGATGGACCCCAGATTTCTTTCTTAACATCAACCATCAATAGGGTGAACTATGAAAATTTTTTACTACAATGATATTTTAATTCTCTTTCGTGCATGCGATTGGGGTTTCTACATTTGAAGGCATAATGAACTTATCTACGGTGACAATTGCAACATTGAGTATGCGACTTGTCTTTCCGTTGAGTGTTTCTCGCCACAACCTCTAGGAACATCATTGCAATATTGTTATACATCTTCTTTCATTTATTTTTTTTTTGTCACATCTTTGATAGCTTTGAGGGAAGAGTTTTATATATTTTTTTTCTCATAGACTTGTAGAGAACTCATCAATTGTCTCATAATGAGAGATTTTAGATCCTTTGACATGTCAATGTATTCAAGCTTCTCAGGAAGTGAGTGAAGAATTTTCTCCATGATTTCCACGTTCTTTATATCCTCTCTACGCCTTCTCATTTCATTCACAAAATTTAAAACTCTAAGCAATAATCCAAAACCAACTCGGATTCCTTCACTGGAAGTGCCTCGAATTCACCTCTCAAAGATTGAACATACACCTTCACTTTATCTCCGTTCTATTTTCTAAAATATCCTTACTTTTGTACTTCCATGGGTTGCGCATTTCCCATTTTTACATAAGCCTACGAACTTATTCTTCGAGGTCATAAGAAGTTAATAGTATACCTTCATTAACCTGACTTTATAATTAGTAAATTGAAACACAAAGGGGCTTTGCCTACATCCCTAGGATGGCCTAATTAGCTACTTAACAAGGCAAAAAGACATTTGAGATGCAATGAAGATGTTAAATTCTTAAATGGGGCACGTATGATACCTCAAATTTGGACGAGGTTTATTTACCTCGAACCTAATACCTTGCAAACTAGACCCGACGAGACAAGTTACATTGGACGAATTATGTGTGACATGTGGACCTGGAGGGGTCAGAGTTTGAACCCAAACCACCCATTTTTATATGTGTTGTGTTGGTTCGGCTTGATGTTAGATCAATTATGAAAATCTAGATCCGGACACAACCCAGATTTCAAACCATGCCGGCTCGCGGCCAGCCCAATTTTTATAATCTTTTTAATTACAATTATATTTTGCATAATTTTTTATTTTAAAAAATTATATTAATCTAAGTAAATATAATTATGATAAAATAATATTTGTATTGTTAATTAAAAATGTAAACATTAGATATATAATTAAAATTATAATTTTATTATATATTTATTAATATATTTTCAAAAAATTAAAATCTAACTCTTTGGTAAATCGGGCGGGCCAGACAATGTCTGATTTGCACAAACTCAAGCACAATCCGATTTTTCAATTGTGATGGGCTGGCCCGACCCAATTTTTTTAACTCTACTTTTAGGTCCAAATTCTTATTTTTCGAGGTGTGCTCGAATTAGATTTTCGGGTTGTGTTTATTTTTATTAAGCTAGGGTATTAGGTATATCCTATGGGTCTTCATGTTGCTTGGTTAATGCCTTTCTCGACGTAACAATTGATCGTCTCTACATGTCACTAAAATCCGGTCATTCATGACAGTCACATACAAGAAGACATATATGAAGACTCATTTCGGGGTTGGTCCGGATAGAGTCAGCTCATTATTTTATATTAAAATATATATTCGGGTCGAATCTTAGTTCAGCTAACTCGATCTCATTTTCATTCCTAATTTATGTCCGTATCCATGCATGCAAAACAATAGAAGGAAACGTGTTGCCTAAATGGAGAAGGTGGTCCAAAAACATAAATAATAAATAAATACTTGAGAAGGATGTCTAGAATGACATTTGAATTAAAGATGGCAAAATAATTTGACCCAAAAGTTGCACGCAAACAAAATGTCATTCAGAAATTAAAGTGATATTGCCGATGAGACTTTTATTAATTTTCAGTAGGAGAATAAAAACGATTGATGCGACAACTAGAACAATAATTCAGATTCTGTCTATTTGAAGACAGTGATCTATATATATATATATATATATATTGAAATGTGGTTGAATTATATAGGAAGTACTTCCACCGTCCAGCTAGAAAGTATACACATTTTTATCTAGGATGTTCAATTACAAAGTAAATATGTTATTAAATACTTTACATCGCATCATTACTTTTATACCAAAAAGCAAGGGCAAAAATATCATTACACTATTTTTAACTATCCATTATAATTAAAATACTATTATTTCTTAAAAACCGTGCCAAAAGTAAATGTTTACTTTATCCGTAGACGAATGGAGTATTAGGTAGAGGTTTTCTTAAGGAAAAAAAAAGACAATCAAATATTTAATCTTTTAATTTGTTTATATCACATTAAAAAATTAATTTTACATTTAAAATATTACATCAATATCTATTTATATAATAGGATTATACAACAATTCAAATTTCTACTTTTCAATAGCCAAACACCCAAACAAATACACTTATAACTCCTACCCAAATTTTATTTCAATTTAGTATTTTACTATAAAAAAAAAAAAAAAAAAGCACAAAATATTTTATACTACTTCCGTCCACAGCCAATTTATCAATTTGTATTTGGTGTCATTGTTTTTAATATTAAAAATATCCTTATATTTGTATAATTTTTTATACAAATATCATTATATTAGTATTATAAGACACCAATACAAATATTTTTGTTGTTTTTTCTTAATTTATAATATGTTTTGATATAATAATTAATATTCAAATATTAACATATAAAAAGTAAATTGATAAATTAGCGGTGGTGGACGGGGTAGTATCTTAATCATACTAGAAATATTGTTTGTTTGAAGGATTTTGGAGGATTTCCACTATTCATCCAATTTTTTCCCCCAAAAAACATCAAATCAAACACCTATTTTTCATTTTTTATATTATACTAAAAATCAATTTTACATTCAAAACATCACATCAAACCCTATTTATATCACATCATACAACTATTCAAATTCAAAATTTTTACTATTCAAATCCCAATCCAAAATCCAAACCCCCAAACAAACACACCCATAAAAAACACTCTTTGTTCAAATATGATGAATAATGTAAATTGTATAAAAATAAGGTGCACTATCTTAAAAATATTTTTTAATAAAAATAAATAAACAATTATCATCATTCATTTAATATTTTTACTAAGTCGAACTGTTACTTAATTTTTACAAAAAAAAATAAACTTTAGTCGAAAATCATAACTTAATTTTTTCAAAAAAAATTTCATGGTTCACATCTAAATTTCAAATTAAATTAAAAAAAATATTTCTTTCGTCACTTAAGAATTTATCCATTTTTTCATTTTAATCAGTCCATAGTAACTGTATTGTATACTTAACTTTACAAATATCTTACCACTTACAATATATTACACAAATATAATTACATTTATATCACACAATACTAATTTACAATATATTAAACAAATGTAATTATCTTTATATCACACAATACTAACTTACAATATATTATACAAATGTAACTACTTTTATATCACACAATACTAATAAAGTTATTTTAATTATTTCTATTTTATTCCTACTATATAATAATATAATATACTAATATTTATAAAACTCTGTGAAAAAAAAAAAGATACATAGAAAATATACTAATATTTTATATTTGTTTGTTTTTCAACTTTTAATAAAATTATATTATTTTATCTAATAAAATATTATTTAAATAAAAATATAATCAATATATATTTCAAATTAATTTTGGAATACAACTAAAGAAACAATATATCTGAACTGTGAACAGTCAACTAACTGAAAATTGAATTTATTCAACGAAAACAAAATGTAAAATAAATAAATTTAAAAAAAAAACAAAAACAAAAAAAGAGGAGGAGGAGGAGAGAGATGACCTTAAAATGACAGCAAAGAGGAAAGTGAAAGCAGGAAGGAGGTTGAGCATTGAGGTGGACATGGTGGCCGAGGCATACTGAAGTCCGCTGTATCCCAATATCTGCACAAGGAAACTATACTACAAACACCATTTCAATTTCAATTTCAATTTCATTAGGAGAATGAATGAATGAATGAAACGACGTCGTACCCGATGGATCCCAGCAGAAAAAACCCGCACAAGAAGGAGGGCAGAAGCGGAGGACGATCGGATCTGCAAAACCAAACCAAATCAAATCAAATCAAATCTGAGACGAAACGAAATGAAACGAAGAAACTAATTAATTAGGGTTTAGGATTGGGGGAAAAGAGTATTTGAGTTTGAAATAGAAAATGAAATTGAAATTTACGGACCTGTAAATGATGGAACAAATTGGGAGAAGGAGAAGGGAAGAGAGAGCATTGGCGTAGAAGGCGAAAGTGAAGGTGGTCATGCCGTGGGACATGGCGACCTTGCCGGCTATCATCAGCCCCGCCTGCGCCAACTGCACCACAACTATTCCGACGTACGGACCTGCCTTCTCCATCTCCATCTTCATCTCACTGTTGTGAGCTGTAGTCGTTGTTGTCGTTGCACAAGGGACCACATTATATAAATTTATATATAACTCTTTTCATCGGACGCAAGCATAAACAATTTGTTTATTTGACACGAATTTTAATATTCGTTCCTAAATAATTTATCAATTTTTTTTCAATATATTACAGATAAATAATACAGTTATAAAAAATAAAATGAATACTTTGAATTCAAGAACAAGAAATGTCTCATTGCATGATTTACAAAAATTTGACGACAAAATAATTAAATTAGTAAAAAATGGAAGGAGTAGGTTACTCCTTCCACGTTAACCCAAGTTTTAATAAATATATTATTATATTAATTTATTGTAATATAAAGTAAAAATATTTTGATAAATACCTAACTAAGTAAATTTAATAAAATGGGAGAAACTTTTTTATACATTAAATGTATAGGTCGATGTGGTATTTTATATATAAATATAATATTGAAAATTAAAAAAATATGTAAAAATTATGTACTATAAATAAAAATATACAATATTATATATATATATATAACAAGAAAGAAAAACAATTATTTAATTAATTTTTTTTTTCATCGGGTATCCGAAATTCAAGAATTTTATTTATTTTTCTAAAAAACATTGATCCAATAAAACCAAATCCGATCAGGTCGGTCAGCCCGAACTACCCAACCCAAACAACCACCTCTAACTATGCTTGTGTTTGAAATGTTTTGGAAATATTTTTATAATATTTTTAAAAATTTTGAAAATAGTAAAAATAGAATAAAAATATGTATTTTGCTATGCAATGGTTAAAGTACTTTTGATCCAATTAACATTTAACTGTAGAGAGACAATATCTCACAGTAAGACAGACAACATAATATTGTACTATAATGGCAGAATCATTTCCAAGTTCTCGGAGCTAACTGTTGATTTATTCTTATTGATTCGATGTGATTTTTTTTTTTCCATAATCTTCTATACAATAATAGTGGGTGAAAAAAAAAATTAAAATTAAATGTTACATTTTTAATTAAAATACAATTAAATATAATTATATATATACATTTAACATTAGAAAAAAAAAACAAAATAAAACAAAAAAATTGGAACAAGGAGCAGCAGCCCACCTTTGCCCGATGGTAGGTCCCTGACTGTTTGTACTATATAGATGTATCTCATTTGCACTTTATATATATTATACTGTGTCATATACATATGTGTAGTACGTTGGAAACAATAATATATTGTATTATATTTTTAATTATTACGTGTTGTCAGAATATATATTGTATCATGAATTGTAATTTATGTGTCAACTGTTTATATATATCTGTGTGCGCGCGCGCTAACATCCCGTCAACATGGTAATGAAAGTAGTATTTGATATTGATGTAACTATAGTTAAGATGAATGATTATGGTTTATCTTCTCGGCAAATAGAGATTTTGATGGGTTAAAACAATCTTGTATCTTGGTATATTGTAAATAATCAAATATAGAAATCAATGAAAATTATATTATTGTGGATTCTAAAATACTATATCATAATTGATTTATACTCTTTAACTAGTGAGTGTTTAGATCGAAGACAACGATTTTAAGTCGTGAAATAAAATTAGGAAATTTTACTGAGTCTGGCTAATTCGTGAAAGTGACAAAGGATGGCTCGATGGTGAGCAAGCAAAAAAAAAACAGTAATTGCAGTAAAGTAAAGAAAACAGTAAAGAGTGAGCGACGCAACAGCAACAGCGAGTGGAGTAACGTTTATAAGCAGCGAGTATGATGGTGAGCGGAGCGGTAAAGATGACAGTGAGCAGTATACATATATGAGTGATGGTTGGCAAGCTGTGAGTGATAGCGATAATGAGTGAATGAGCGGTGATAATAACAGCGATAAGGATGGATAGGGGTGTTTTTGTGTGATCTGTATGCTAAACAAATGACTAAATTATCATGACTGAAATGAGCTGATGATGAAAGTGAAATAGCGAATCATATATATAATGCGAAATGACATAAAAAAGGATATGTGATCATATTTAAGAGATTTACAAGAAGACTTCAATGATACCCAGATCATAATATTATAAGTAAGAAAAACTATTGTCACTAGACATTTTTTAGACCTGATAGACAAGCGCCTATGTTTAATTACTTATTTCGGAAATCTGTTTCATTAGTGGCTTTACCTTTCTGATACTTCTCTTTAATCAAAATTGAATTCAGAATAGCAATTAAGCAAGTCGACAAGGCTCCTGCGTATTTAATTACGGAGAACTACCTAAAATTTGTTAATGAATACGACGCATAATTAGGCTTTAATAATCAATTTTTCTGATGCATTTTCCAAAGCGAGTAAAACTCCAAATTTAAACAATCAAATATAAATTTAAATTTGAGAATGAATTTTAAGATGGAGAAATCTTAATACTGCATTACTTCTATAAAAGTGGTAACTTTACATTAATCTAACTCTAACTGAGAGAACTCTCTTACATGATTGAAGCTAGAGTAAAAGCAGATTATCACAGTATGATATATGATATATTATACAAGAAATTTGATCATATTTATAGATTTTATGGATTGGCAGTAGGCGGCAGTTAGAACTGTTAAATGAATCGAGTAGCTCGCGAGCCAAGCTCGGCTAGGCTCGTTTATCTCTATAATTCTTAAACGAGCCAAGCTCGAGCTCAGCTTGCGAGTAGTTTGAGTAGACTCATTAATACTTGGGCATTTTTGTCATTTTATGTATATTAATATATATTAATTTTATTTCATATTTTTTCAATTTTCATTCTTAAAATTTAAAATTTTTCCAACTTCCCACCACATCCCATTTATAAGCAAAGTAGTAACCGTAATCCTAATTTCCTTTTTTCTTCTTCCTCAATCTTCAAGCAGTTATCATTGGCATTAAAACCATCTTCTTTATAATTTTTCAAGATTCTTCCACTATATTCTGAAACTTCTGCCAGTACAATCTTTTAGTTTTATTTTCAAAGGAAATTAAAGTCAAAGCACCACAAGCCACACACGACAACAAATCTTGCGTTGGTATTACTTCTTAGTTTTACCCTCTTTTATTTATTTATTTATTTATTTATTATTATTATTATTATTATTATTATTATTATTATCCGTGTTAATATATTTTGTACGTGTAGTTCCTTTAATTTTTTCCAATTATTTTTCCAAAGTATTGTTTATCTAATTTATTAAAATAGGTGATTTAGTTAATAGTTAGTAATTTTGTTTTATATGAATTATTTTTTGTTTTCTAGTTAGAGCTGTTGTCTATATTTAGATATGTCATACTTTATTTGGAATGAATTTTAAAGAAATAGTTTAATATTTAAAATAAATGAAAATTTATACGTAGTCTTTTTTTTTATACGTTTCTAAACTATTTTTTTTTATTTATACATTCTAATAATTAGAAATAATAAAAATAATATTTATATTTTTTATTTTTAAATAATTTTAAATTAAATTTTTGTGGAATATAATATTTTAGTTTTATTATTTTGCATATTCGTACAGATTTATTTTATATTGCTATTTTTATATTTTACTATTCGCTATATTTATTTGTTTATGATTAATTAGAATCTAATTTTGGTTAATAATTTTTCTTTTAAGGTATGCACAATTTTTTTGTCCAGAGTTTATCATCAACTCCTACAATGGAACAAAACAATGAAGATATGAAACATTTTAATTTGATTGAAGAAATGATTGATGAAATGAGTGAAGAAGAGCTGGAAATTCTGGAAGGTGAAAATAGTTTAAAAGACAAAAATATAGATGATAAAATTGGGCATTTTGAAAAAAAAAACAAAGGAAAAAAAAATCCAAAGTTTGGGATGAAATGACAGAGATTATATTTGAAGATGAACAACCAAAGTGCAGTGTTATTATTGCAAAGGTTATTTTGCTAAGAGTACTACTGGAGCTACTTCTCAGTACAACAGACATTTGGCATCTTGCTTATAGAGGAAGTTGGCTCTCGGGGAAAAAAATAAGAGCACACAAAAAGTGTTGTCGTTCACGGAATGATCCACTGAATCTAGGCTTATTCAATTTGACAACATTAAAAAAAAATTACAGTTGTCATCTAAGAAACTGATTTTGGATTGTCCAACGAGATGGAATAGCACATATTTGATGTTGGCTTCAGCTTTAGAGTTCAAGGATGTTTTTCCTAGATATGCAGAAATTGATCTTGGATTTCGATATAATCCTTCTGAATTATAGTGGAAAAAAGTGGAAGAAGTGTGTGAATTTATAGGGATATTTCATGAAATCACTAATATGATTTCTGGATTTGAATATCCATCGGCCAACATCTTTCTTGTGAAGTTGTATAGGCTTAAAGAGTTGTTGAATGAAAAAAAAAAAAAAAAAAAGACGATATCTCTGATCACATTAAGTCTATGACAATTGGTATGTCTACTAAGTTTGATAAGTATTGGGGGATAGCAATATTCTGTTATCATTGGAGCAGTTTTGGATCCAAGATACAAAATGGTTCTTATGAATCATGTTTATCTAGTGATTTATGGTGAGAATGCAGCAGAAGATTATGTGACATGAATAAAAAAAAATTCTTCATGAGTTGTATGATGAATATGTGAATAGTTACATGTCTTCTCAATCTGAGAGATTGGCTAGAAAAAGAAAAAAAAAACAAACTGAAGTTACTAGTTCTTCTGGTAAAAGGTCTAGTTCATCAGGTATTTTAACTGTAAGGAAAAATTTCAAATGCTTTTGAGTGAAATTGATAAAACTTCTCCGGAAAAATCAAATCTGGATGTTTATTTAGAAGAAGGTAGATATGTTTGTGATGCAAATACAAATTTGGATGTTCTTGGTTGGTGGAAAAGGAGAACGATTGAGGTTTCCTATTTTATCAAGATGGTTGCAGACACACACTACAAAAAAATAATATATTTGTAACGGAATTCCGTTCCTAAAGTTCACGTGGCTAACGTAATTCCATACCTAATTCTGTCTCTAATGTCATTAGTAATGGAAAAAGTAGATTTAGAGACAAAATAA